TGAAGGTGGAGACGACCAGACCTCAGCAGTAAAGTCCTCGGTCTTTGTGAGATGGTTTGAAAGGACCAGGCAATGTTTTTGGGAAATCAGGACAGTCAAGGAGAGTCTGAACTTTAAGATGAAATCCAACGAGAAATTTTTTTTTTTCCTAACGAGAAATGTTAAAACAACTTGTGCCTCACCGTTTGGAACTGCAGGTGACCAGTTGATTTCCTTTCTGATGCCACGGTGGCCCTGATCTTTTTCTCTCCCACCTCCTTTGCATACGCAGCCACAGCAGGCCACCCCCTTTTCTGTCGCTTGCTGCTGTCAAGGTTTCACATGTGCTCAGAAGTCTCGTCCTGTTAGGCTCCCCCGTTGACTGTCTCTATGTCGTAAGCATTCCATTCTTCCCTGGGCATCTCCGGGTGACTTCTCTCTTTTTATTTCTCCCATGCAGGGCTGGGGATCCAACCTGGGGCCTCCCACATGCTAGGCAAGTGCTGCATGCCTGAGCTGTAGCAACTGTTGCTACACTGTGCTCATCGGTGCCCACTTCCACTGAAATCATGCTCTCTGTCCCTGTCCGGCAATGCTGCTTTATACTGCAGCCAGGAGGGTCCCCATGCAGTGTGGAAGTGGGAGGGTGCTCAGCCTGCCCCTGGGCACCTTTTGTCATTGAGGATTTTAGCTGTGTTGTGTGCGCTCCTCCTGGAAGCCACTCTTGGACTCTTGTCCACGTTTCTTTCCTTAGGGGCTCGGCCTTGGCTTTTGGGGTTGGTCAGAGACAGGTGTCCTTCTGCCTTCTGCCCACCTGAGTGTTGCCATATGGTGGGTTGGTCTGTTTGTTAGAAATGTCAGCTAAAATAGGATCTCATAAAGAACGATACGTGTACCAGGGTGATCTAAAGAGATGTGAATGTTTAACTAAAAGAAACAACTAATTACAGTAAAAACACATTGCCAAGAATGATGGGATAAATTTGTCCAAAGTGAGTGAAGGTATTTTGTGGGGGGTTAAGGCAATGAATCTTCTCCTGTAATAAATTATTAAGTGTAAACATCATCATACTTTATGATCAACTATTTATGGCAATTTCTGTCAAATATAAACATCACTGTGTATCTTCATCCACTTTATTCATTGCACTTGTAGCATTTTGTGACTTCCGGCTCTTCCTTCAGAGTCGAAATGACGATGAAAGGAGATGTTTTGAATCCATTCAGGATATCAGGGCAGCCAAGATGGCGCCACTGAAGACGCTTACAAAAGAGGACTTCAGAACTGCTTCAGAAAGCAGTGAGAGGGATGGGCTGTGTGTTCACAGTAAGGGGGAGCATTTTGAGGAATTAATGGCAATATATCTTTTTGTGTAATAAATTAAAAAATCAACATTAATCCAATTTTTGATCATATTGTATGTGCACATATATAAATTTTTCATTATAATTTAAAATGTAAAATTGTGGTCTTTTATGTTCTTTTTTTATTTTAGAAATAAAAGGAGGAAAATACTAACAGATCGACAATGTTTTACAAAATAGCAAAGGATCAGTACAGACATTACAGAGTTACAAACAGAGTGGTAGGGAATTAACAATGCTTATTGTATTACATATTGATATCTTCAATGTAGTTTCTCATGAAAACACATATAGACATACAAAGCTAACCAACCAATGCCTCACTGGTCTTTTATGTTCTTGATGGGGAAGGCCTTTTCTTTGAATAGAAGTCACAAATTGGGGTTCTACGGAGTTTTTTTTATATGATCACATTAATGTGCATCTGTGAGCTCTATTTCTTAAAAAAAAACAAGCCAGGTACAGTATATGAAATGATAGATGTTTAAAAGTATTTTTTTCTCCAGTCTCCTAGAGTAATGTTGGCCACCACACCTACTATTATTATTATTATTATTTTATGCAGTTCACTTTTATGAAGGCATTCCCACACAGACGACCTAGTTTTGCTGGCAATAACTGCTCATTTTCTCCTCATTTCATCAGCTCTTGTACTTTCAGGTTCAATCACTTAGAGTGAAAGATATGATTGCCACAGAAAGGTTTGGGGATAAACATGATTTTTTGGGGACTCAGTTGCAGCTAGGCGTCCCCTGGGTGGAGTGCTCCAGCCCCGGGTGACTTACGTAGGGCAGGTGGTCACCTGCTTCCCAGGTGGGGAAGCCAGTGACTCAACCGCCTGCAGGCTGGGTGCTGGAGTCCGGAGTGAACCTCTGCCTTCTCCTGACTCAGCTCTGAGGCCTCCTGTGAATCCATCACTCAAGTGACTGGCTTAGGGTGTGACCCAGCAGGTCAGACATGCTTAGGGAGACCAGCAGGCCAGCACCTGAAAGTAGCCCAGACTGTTAACTTCAACATCTTCAAAACATTTCCCCAACACAAGACCTGTTTCCCCCCCTGCAGGTGAGCAGGAATACCTTGCCTGTTTTTATGTATAAACAGGTCAACTTCTGTACCCGAACCCTGGGGCAACCTGGCTTCTGTTTCCTTAGAGGTGAACACTGACTTTCTGGAGGTCAGTCCAAGCCAGGATTTAAAATTTAGCTTCTGCTTTGGTGCCACCAAGTGGTTAATTCGGAAATGCCACTTTCAAGAAGATAGCTCGCCCAATGCATAGGGATTAAGAAATCTGGGATGAGAGCTGAGAATGTAGCTCAGTGGTGAGCACTTACCTAGCATGTGTAAGAGGCCCTGTGTTCAATTCAATTCCAGGTTGAAAGATAGGCAGATGAGAGAGGATTTTAGGGTAGTGATCCTATTTAGCACAATCTTATTATGGTGGATACATGTTAGTGTGCATTTATCAAAACCTGTAAGCTGTGTGATTCCAAGAGTGAACCCCATTGTCAGTCATGGACGTTGGGCGGTGACCTGCCACTATAGGTCCATTAGTTGTGACAAAGGTCCTGTGTGGTGGGGACGTTGATAATGGGGTGGGCAGCTATCGATGGGTGAGGGAAGACGGTACGTGGGGAAGTTGTATACATTCTGCTCAGTTTTGCTGTGAGTTTAAAACTGTTTTAAGTTACTGATAATCAATCCTTTATTTTGCATGCATTTCCCCTTCTAGCAGCTGGTGCTGCAGGAAAAAGCAAGGTAAGACGGAGGCATCGTCTAGGGAGGCCAGCTCACTTCTCACGCAGGAATGACCATATCTTCATGAAGCCCCACAGTCCAGAATCTGGGTCCTTAGCTTTGTAAATATTAAAGATCTAATTTTCTAGGGATAGCTCATGCCCACAAACTTATAAGGGACACTTGATAAGACAAAATGCCAGTATATCACTTTCCAGTTAGAAATATCTATGTAGTTGTTAGTGGAGCAGTTTCTTTTCTACCCTGTAGGAAACATTTTGGGAAGACAAATTACACTGAGTAAAATGAAATGAAATCGCAGCGTGTGTGTTCTAGCGCATGCGCGCTGTTTAATAATTAGTACCAGTGAGCCGTCTTCGGCGCCTTGGGGAGTTAAGGACTGTGGCTGGGGGCATTCACATCAGCAGCAAAGAATCCCGGACCATACTGATAACAGAGTAACCTGGTCTTTGGCTTGGCACATTGTTTTAAAACTCTGTGCTGAGCCTCTGAGAGCCCTTTCTTCCCTCAGGGCGCAGAGTCACCGGCGAGGTCCATGCTGCAGACTTGTTGCTCCAGCTTTAATCTTCTGGGAGCCTGTTGGGTCACGATGACTAGCATTTGGGTGCTCCCCAGATTCCTGAGCCATCATGTATAAGTTTTTGCTCAGGGGAAGCTGTGTACACATTGCATAATAATTGCTTAGAATTTCGTTTTCAGGGGGAAACATGTTTTATGTTTTGGTCTTTCCCTAATTGCAGGTTAAAATTGAATATGCAAAATCCTTAGTGACTCTGGCATAGATTCCCAATAGAAAACTACGTGGCCGAAGGTGAGGGTTATTGTAAGTCAGTAAGAACGCGCATGTGCAGCTGTGCCTGGAGAGCTCCGTGCAGACCTTACCACGCAGCTGCTTTACCCTCTTGTGTGAGTCGTCTTGGGAGCTCTGTCGTTTCCGGTTCTGTGCTGCAGCTTCCTGCCGACTTGGGCCACACTTAAGGCTGCCGCAGAGCCCTCAGCCAAGGGGGCACGGCTGGGGGATGTTTACAGAGGTTGTAAACTGGTGACTTGTGTTTAGAATTGCACGTTTGTGTGGCTTAATTGCTTGGACTGAAAACTCAGGAAATTCATAGAAACTCCGAGTATCTAGTGTCTTCAGGGAACAGTAGAGCTGGCTAAGCGGGGCTGCATCCCCACAGGGTGCTCAGTTATTGGAGTGGTCTGAGGAGAGCACACTCCTCAGACTGTCCTGAGTCCAGCTTCTCTTTCACTCATTTATGTTATAGCTTGGCAAGGGGATTTGCGCGGGTGAGTTTTGAGGCCCTGCAAAAAAACAAACCACAAGGGAAAGAGCGGTGTATTAGGAGTGTTGGGCCTTGGACTCTCTTCTTTATCAAGACATAATTCTCTCCCTCCTCTGAGAGCTGGGTGAAGTCCTGCTGAACTGTCATTGGTGCATTCTGGCTACTTATATCTCTTGACTCTTATAATAAAGCCAACTGTTTTATGTTTTTTTTCCCCTCTCTTGTAACACCTGGCCTTTCTTCCAGCCTATCCATAGGATAGAATGTTATCCAAATATCACTGAAATAATTTTTTTTTTTGATACCAGGAATCGAACCCATGACCTCAGGCTTGCCAGGCAAGCACTTAAGCCTCTGAACTACATCCCTGGCCCCACCCGGCCTTTCTTATTATTTACTTCCCTCTTCTTTTTGTAGATGCAGCTCTATCACAGAGATTCCCATATGAGGATAAAGGATGACAGGTGAACTTATTTTGCTTTAGGCAATTCTTTAAGGACATGTCTATACAATACTTTTGTATAGTTTTTGAAAGAAACCACGTTAGCTTTCACAATAATCTGTTGGAATTCCTCCAGAATAAATATCTACCTTTTCCCATTCATTGTGTGTTTGCAGATATAGGACCAAGGTCAAAATCTGGAAAGACATCGGCAGAAAATATTGGCACTGCCAGAGGGACACTGCGTCTGAGATCAAAAGGTCCTGCCACTGTGGAAGAAATGGTACGTTACATTCATTTGGTTCTCGCTCTGCTTGGAAACCTATAGTTATTCATATTTATTAAAGCTGGGAAAGCAAAATCATAAAGTTAAATAAAATGCTACTTGTTCAAAGCATGGACTATGTAAAAAAACTAAAATAAAGTAGGCGAAGCTGAGAGTCAGTAAAAATTTTGGAGACTGGAGCAGGGATATTTAGGGAGCTTTGGATAATGGAAGATTGTGTTGATGAAGTCTGGCCTCCTCAGGTGAAATTTTCGTAGTCAGCCTTGAGCCTTCTTCATACCCACATCCCTTCCATCACCGGCCCTGGAGGATTGGCATCTGTAATGTACCAGGGTCTGACAGCTCTGGCCACCACGCCCCTGTGCTGGCCCCAGGCCCGTGGTGCTGTCTCGGATCTCACAGTTGCCTGCTCGGCCTTTCCCCTTTGCGTCTGTGCTCGGCCCTGCGGCCAGCATCATCCTCTGGAAACAAGTGAAGTGATGTCACTTTCCTGTTCCCAGCCCCGCCCCCTACCATGTGTCACTCAAAATAAAGCTGGCGTCCTGCAGTGTCCCTTTCCATCACATCTCCCCTGCTCTTCCCTGGCTCCTTCTGCTTCCGCCACATGGGCCTCTTCACCGTCCCCAGCCACTCTGGAAGCTTCCCCATCGTTCTAGTGTCTTCACCACTCACGTACCCGTGGCTTGCTCTGAGCCTTTGGCTTCCTGCCCACACACAAGCTTCTCTATGAGACCTTTCCTGGGTGCCCCGTATGCACTGTAGTTCTCTTTACCCCTCTTCCCACCCAGTCTTAATTATCTTCAAAGTACTAAACGCCGTAGGACTCATATCTTCGTTTAATTTCATCTGTCGTGCTCCTCCTTTGCTCCGTGCCTCGCTCACTGCACTTAGATACTGCACGATGAGTCAGAGGAACTCTAATCTTTGCTGAATTAATGAGTGAATAATGGATTTGACTGAGCTTGAGAAACGCAAGGGCTTCTAATTTGCGTCTACGGAAAGGTCAGCATCTGAGTGCAGAATACCAGGAGGAGGGCTGAGTGGGAGCAGGGAGGGGGGAAGAGCGCGGCAGGGCTTGGGTGGCAGCTGCAGGTCCTTCACAGCATGGAGACAGCGGTGCTGACTAGGTCCTGCGGCCTCCTGATGCTGGGCTCCTGCGGGCCACACACGGTGCGTCTGGAGGACCGTTAGGGGCTCTTTCGGGGCAGGATCCCAGGCCTTGTTGGGTGACAGCGTCCAGTATCAGGCTGGGGCCATTGGACAACCCCGGGGCCACAGTGCCCAGGGTGTTCTTCGGAATGTCTGAGTCACTCAGGATGGTGACCATTTCGGAGAATCCAGAGGAAGAACCCGAGGCGGGTGTCTTGGTCCTGAGAGGAATGAGAGGATCGATCTGAAGGCAAATGGCAGCCAGGAGACCTGGTTGAGCCAGGAGCATCTTGCAGATGAGATCTCATGAGGTCTGTGGAGTAAGCCAGGGCGGTAATGTCTGCTCATTCGAAAGCTTTCCTTTTCCCATTGCCCATGGCGCTGCTTGGTATGTTGCCGGGGCCTCATGCTGCTCCTTGAGGGAATGATCAAGCTGAAGTAGAAGGAGGAATGGATGAGAGAACGGGAGCAAACTGGGAAAGAGCTGGTCATGGGGAGCTGTGTTAGTCCTGCTGGAGATTCAGGGAAGAGGAGCAGACTTAAGGCGGTTTGAGGAGGGTGCCTTGCAGGAGGGCCAAGTAGCTGACATAGAAAGTCTTTGCCAGGCACCTGCTGTATGTAAGGCCCTGGGGTGGACAAGAGCAGCTTAAGATCTATCCTGGGAGGTAGGAAAGATTCAAAAATAAACATCCCCAAATCCATCCTTATTTGCACAGCCTGTTTAATTAAACAGGTCAATTAAAAATAGCTCATCATTGAAGGAAAAAGCTGGTTTGGCGTCATACTAAAAATGATACAAGTGATTTGCAGTCTCAAACACTGATGGATTTGAAGGACTTACCGGATGACTGAAACAAATCATCTTCTTATAACTTGGCACAAATTCTGAAAACTGAACGCTACTCCACTTGCATACCCTGAACTTGATTCGTTGTTTTTGCTGTGCTGGGCGCAGTCCAGGTGCTGATGACACAAAAACAAGTAAAGACCTTGTTCCTCCTCTATAGGGAGAGAGGCACAAAGAGAAGCTTAATAGAGATAGGTTTCTGGGTGTGCAGTGTCATAGGGGAGGGTCTGCGAACTGGTGGTTAGAGAACACAGGTCGTGAGAGGTTCCCGCCAGAAGAAACGATGGAGCTGGTTGCAGGTGGGAAGAGAAGTGTCTGAGACACAGCTGCCCTGGGCTTGGGGAGCTGGTGAGGTATCCACGGGACCGGAGTGTGGGGTGGCAGGGGGACCCGGTGGGGTGGGGAGGTGATGAGGCTGTCGGAAGAGGGTGGTCAGGGTGCGAAAGGCCTTGTGGGTAACCAGGAGTCATGCAGGGATACCGAGGGGAGCAACACCATCAGTTCTGTGTTTTGGGAAAGTTCCTTGGTCTGAGGGATGGGTTGTCGGGCAGGAGAGATTTGGGGAGTGGGTAGGAGGGAAACTCCACCCTTAAAAACAAGGACTAGACCCAAGCAAGCGATGTGCAAGGAGAAGAGGTGATGGATAGGTTATGGGCTGTGCAGGGGTGGAAAGGTAAAAGGCGGTGGATGTTTGTGCAGGAGGAGTGCTGATGCTCGGTAGCGCTACTTACAACATGGCTGGGTTAACACCTCAGGGACTTTGGGTGGCCTGTGGCCGTACATAGACTATTCAAGGTGTGTGGACTGTGATGAAGTCAAGCACGACACATGTGTCTGTTACAGTGATTGTTCCGCTTGTGTACATAAAAATGTGAAAGGGCTGGGCGTATAGCTCAGTGGTGAGTGGTTGCCTAGCATTGCACAGCCCTGGATTCAAGTATTAAAAAAGACACAAAAAAAAGAAAAGTGAGAAGGTTGTACTGATACCCTCAAGAATAAAAAAATAAATTTTTATTTGTTGGTAAAATATATATGATTAAAATAGATAATTTTGATAAATTTTGAGGATACAAGGGAACATATGATAATACTAAAAGTAGTGTGGAATTCTTACAACCTAATCGTTCAATTCTGCATTCAGACCTATAACGCATCACTGTCCAGGCAATTCCTTGTTAGCTGTGAAGTCATATAAAACCAAGCAAGAATTGAAATAATGAAGACAGGGCCGGGGATATAGCTCAGTGGCACAGCACCTGCCTGGTAAGCATGAGTTTGTGAGTTCGAGTCCCCATACCAAAAAAAAAAAAAAAAAAAAGAAGATGTAGAACAAGACTAACTAAATACAAAACCAAGATTTTTAAAGAATATCAAAACATACCCAATCTTTTTATTACTGACATTTGTTAATAATAGTTTTAGGAAGAGTGAAAGTTTTAGTGTCATTACTATATGAAACAAAAACTGAAAGTATTTCATTGTTAACATCTTCCTTATGAAATTGCTCTTTTTGGAGGTGTTTTCATAATAAACTTGATATATTCATTTGGTAATACATGTAATTTATGAAAAATACATATAGTGAAGTTAAATAAAAATAAATAATGAGTGTGGATATTGGGATGAGCCATCAGGAATTTGGAGCCCTTGGCCTATGCGATAAAGACCAAAATCCTTTTGGTGGCATGTGGGACGTCTTCGGTTTGTCATGCTTGTCACTGCATTCTCTAGTCACATGGCCTTCTTGTCACCTGTGGCAGCCTTGTGTAGACTCGTCTGTCTCGGAGTATCTGTTGCCCTCTATGTAAAGCTTGTCTGACACCCGCTCATTTCTGAAAACCCAGTTCTTAAGCCACCTTCTTTCCAAACCCTTCCCTGACTCTTAGACATACAAATTTGCCTCCTCCCCCACGGTGGCTCTGTACCTTTTATGTCCTTTAAAATTGTCACACAGTCATTTACTTTTACATCTGTCTGCCCATGTAGGTACTTTGTTACTTGGGAACTGAGTTCCTGGCCCTGCCCCCCTTTTAAAATCCATATTGTTTGCTGCTGACATTGAAAGTAAGATTGATTTATATTTAGTTAGAGAGCACATTCTACATATGTTTATGAGCTGAAGTCTGTCACCACGAACTGGCTCTTACACAATTTCCCCTTGGTGTGCCCTGATGACCAAGAGGTTTCACTGTAAAAATGTAATATCTCATTTCTCTTTTCTTTGATAAAGCCTTCTGAAGCCAAAGCAAAGGCGATTGAAAAGATTGACAGTCTTCTTGAATTGTACATGGGAATTCGAGATATTGATTTAGGTAAGACTATACTATTTTATTTTTAAAAAAATTTATATTTCTTTTTAAATATTTAATGAGTGCGTGTTCGCAGTACATAATGGTTATGTTCACTGTGGGATGTTCGCGCGTGTGCACTGCACATTCCTCCCCCCGCATCTCTTGGTCCCTTTCCCTTTGGCAAAAATTTACTATTTTAAGAAGTCTCACAAGGGTCGGGGAGATAGCTCAGTGGCACAGTATCTGCCTCGCAAGTGCAAAGTCTTGAGTTCGATTTCTGGTACAAAAAAAAAGTCTCACACTCTTAATTGGATGGAACTAATGCTTCTTTAGCCTTATTCACAGTTGGAGCCAATATACTTTTCAACATAAAACATTTGTGTAGTGCTGAAGAAAAAGAGCAAACATAAAGATAATAAACACTAACAAAGACTAAACATAAAGACTTAATAAAGACTAAATGTAAAGATAATAAAGACTAACAAAGACAGGTCTTTTCCACTGATCAGTGGTGAGGTGTTAATGCCATATCCACTCTTAAAAATCTTAGTTCTTAACCTGTACATTGTGAGTAATAATGTCTCCTTCAGTTTTGTTTCGTAGGTTTAAAAATACCTGAGAATAATTTCATAAATGGTGCACATGAACGTTTTCACTATCTGATATGCTGTATTTGCACTGATTACACTGTGCACTTCTATGCTATGAAAGCTGGGCACCATTTACCGGGTTGATGGAAACCTGCTGCACAGTGAATCAGAAATAGGGAGAAAAAGGATGCAGAGGACCTGTGGCTGAGCAGGGTGCCGAGCAGCTGAATTTCTGTGCACGTCTTAGGTTACCAAGGATGTCAAGGTCTTGATTACCCATCAAGACTCTGCCAGTTGCAAATGACTGAAAGCAAAACCAGAACAGAAAACCTAACCCTACCTGGCTTAAGGAAAAAAGGGAGACGTTTTAGTTCTTAGAACTGAGAAGTCCAGAGATCCTGAAGAACAGCTTGTTCAGAGCTAGGCTGGCTTGGAAGGGGCTTCCTCTTGGCTCAGGCCGCTGTGGGGTCCCTGGCTATGTAGACTCCCCTCAACGAAGCCAAGACGACCACCACGGCGTCATCTCGATGTCCGCTTGGCAGCAAGCATGGTGGGAGAGGCCCTTTCCAGTTCTTTCAGACAGGACGCCCAAGACTGCCGCTGACCGCCACTCTCTGGGACAGGAGCCAGGGCTGTGGTGGGCCTGGGCCACCTGCTCCACCTCTGGAGCTGAGTGGTCTGAGACGCAGCGCTCAGGGGTGCGCAAAGGCTGGGCTCGGCTGCTCCCTGAAAGAGGGCAGGTGGATGATGTGTGCATGGGCCTGCATGGACGATGATGATGATGATGGTGTGTGTGCATGTGTGTGTGTGTGTGTGTGTGTGCATTGAATCAGGTACTTTAAACATTTTTTAAAGTCAGTGACTTGCCTTTTTACCTGCTGTGTCTACCCGCTATCAGGTAGAAGCTTTTTTTAGGGGATCAGCTGTATGCTGGACAAGCGCCCTACTACTGAGCTACACCGGAGACACCAGTCTAGTCGTCCTGACAGCCCATCCTTCCCTTTTGTATTTCCACTCATCTCCCATTGTCCCTATGGAATCGTCAGAAGGCAACATAAAAACAGATTTAGCTTGCAGTTCACGGTTGGCCTGTACTTGCTGTTCTGGAACTGGGTAACGTGTCGTTTCATAAAACAGAGCGAAGTTCTGAGCAGCCCGACAGAAGTGCTGGGTTCTGTGGGCAGGAAAGGGCTGAAGAAAGCCACACACTAGGTATTGTCGGGTTCCTTACTTTGTAAAGGCGACTCCAGCGGGCATTCCCTTATGATGCCAGCTACACCCGGGTGGTTTGGGGCTCTTGGTTTCCTGGAAGGTCGGATAACGGCTCAGCTTTGGCGAGGGGGAACTTCAGCTAGAGCGGCACCGTTTTGGTTTGGCCTCTTGGGTCTCGTGCAGAGCTCAGTCCAAACCAGCCCTCCAGGTGACGCGAAGTTCTTAGGGAAGTGGGGTGTAAGGGATTAGTTGAAGAGTGTCAACTGTTATTAAATTAGGTATTTGTACTATTTGGACAGGATCAGCAAGACACAGAATTCAAAGTGTAAGACTAATTTAACAGAAAAATGAATAATTTACCTATATGCCTAGTTTCCTTGGCTTTCTGAAATGTTATTTTTTAATGCAAATTACATTGACATAGTACTCTGAAACTTTTAATGTAAATTTCTATTAAAACATTAAAAATGACATAGACATGAAGTTACTTCAAATGGATTGGGAGATATTTATTATTCATCAGTGGAACATAATTCAAATGAAATTTTTTGTAGGAAGTAGCTGTGTGGGAAGTGCTTCATTTGGTTGTGAAGTTGTGCTTTGTGATTTTTCAATCAACCAGCGTTGGCATAAATTACCTTAGGATGTTGTCCATGGGGGAAAAGTAGGTTCTGGAAGATGTTGAATCTATAAGGCCTTGTATGGCTTGGTCCAATTTACTAAGAAGGTGATCTGTAGTTTTCTTTGGGAATATTTCAGGCAACTGTGAAGTTTCATCTGGAACCATAGTGTTTCTGATGATATTAATTTAGGAGTTTGGCGATTATATTAGTAGCAGTTTCAGAATTTCAGAAGTGGTAATTAATTAAGAGATCCGGAAATGTGTGGAAAAGAAATTTGGATGGTAGCTTTTCAGTCTTTTTCTTATAAAACCAAGTAATTTCTTTTAAAGAGAAAAAAAGATAACACTAACAAAGAAAAACAAAACAACACCAAAACAATACAAATGATACAGAATTTGAAAACAAGATGATAGGAAATTAACAATGGTTATTGTAGTACATAATGTTATCTTCAGCGAAGTTGCTCACATTATCAGATGTAAGAATGCAAGGTTGATCAAACAGTTGAAGAGAATAAAAAATAAAAAAAATTAGAAACGATACAGAGCTTCATTAAACAAGATGGTAGGAATTCATTTGTAGGAAACATCGTTGGTCTCTCGTTGTACCCCAGAGAGAAACAGCGGTGGGTATGAGAAAAATAAAGACAAGAGACAAGAGCTGGGGTCAGGTGGAGTTATCTCTTGCCTGATGAGCAGGAGGACTGACTTCAACAGTAGAGGCTTTTATTTTATACACTTGCAAAGTTAGTATCATGGGGGGTAATGTTACCTAGCGACTAACGACTGTAATTGTCTGGCAGGATGCCTTTTTCTTTCTTTTTTTTTTTGGGGGGGGGTTTTTCTCTGGTACTGGGAACCGAACTCACGACCTTGCGCTTGCCAGGCAAGCGCTTTTGCCGCTGAGCTAAATCCCCAGCCCCAGGATGCCTTTTTCAATACTGAGGTAGCTTGACTGCTTGACCAATAACCAGCACCAGTGGCTCCCAACATTCATTAACGGTTGTTATATTGCATATTGTTGTGTTCAAATTAGTTGTTCAGATTATCAGATGTAAGCATGCAAAATTGATCAAAAAATTTAAGCCTTAACTTTTCCTTTCAATAAACCTATAGACATCAGCAGTACAGTTATCCCAGCTATCCTTGTATATATATAT